GGGGGGGGGGGGGGGGGATTGAGAGATCCTCACTCGTTCAGATTAGTTGTGAGTAACAACAACCCTACTCCTCTTTGTTGAGAATGATAAAATTTTAGATCCTTTTTTCTTATCATCCTCATCTCCGGCCTCCGGCCTCTATGAGATAACAAAAAAGATCATAAAGATTTAATGTATTGCAAAATATATCTATATCATCAAAGATAATAAATCACTTTACAATAAAACAAAAATGAAATATTTCAAGCTATATATAGACTTATAGTACGTAAAGAGATATTCTCCACTGTTGAACCAACTAAAAGGCAACTAAAGGTAGCAAGAATCTGTGTAAGAGTCAGTATATTTATAACAAAATTTTTAGGGCAATACCTAAATTTTTCTAATTCATTTTCACCCTTTAAATTTTCTCTTATTTACCCTTAGATCCCAAATTCTGACCTGTTTCTATTTTAATTTTGCAGAGACGACCCTTTTTTTCTTTTCCTAGAAGCTTCTTTCCTAACTAACTAAGATTCCCTAAGCCAATTTCCTACATTTCCCTTCACTACTTCAGTATTTACCCCTCTTCCAGATTTTACCTCTTCTCTTACATTGAATTCTCAATCTCATTAAATCAAACTCAGAATGGACATGTAATATGAAATGGACTAATTTTGATAAACCCGGGCCTTGTTCCATTAAACCAAACTCAAAATCAGACTTGACCTAATCCAAATCAAGGCCTACTGCCACTTCTTGCCTAAATATCATTAAACAAAGGTGACAAATATCTAAATGATCCAAAAATAAAATAACTACTCGATTAAGTAATTAATCTCTCAAGTAACTAAACACCACTGAATCATCGAGCTTATAACAATAATATCCAATTACCCATATAGTTTTGAAAAACTCTTCAAAGAAATGAAAACATGATAATTAAACAAGGAATTTGGAATTAAAATAAACCGAACCTAGATCAACTAAACAGTTAAATGCACAATTCACATAAATATACAAGGGAGAGATATACCTATCGAGGTCGAACAAATTGATGAAAGGGAAGCCCACAAGCTGGAGGAACATGATGGAACAATTGAGGAGCAACCGACCGGTCAATGATATTTTGACCTAATTCCAATAGCCGTGAAATGAACCAAGACTAACATCAATCAATTGCTCTTATCTAGAGCAATCAGTTGATGTAGATTTCGAGTTCAAGCGGGCCAGAATTGATGGGAAAAATCACAAAGGGAGGAATTAGGTTTTCTATAGATTCTTAGATCTACTAACAGAGAAAACCTAGGGTTTTTTTCACAAAACTAATGGTAAGAGAGGTATGGGGGGATGATGGAGATTATGTGGTGATAATTTAGTGCTAATTAGTGGTTGGCCGCCGTCGTGGGGCGATTTTCAGCGGCAACAGAACAGTGAGAATGAGAGAGAAGGTATGAGACGGTCTTTAGGGTTGGGAGGGGGGGAGGATTCAGACACTTATATATGTTTGAGAGGCTAGTTCCGATCCATTGGATCAAACCCAATAGATGGCTGGGATTGAACAAAACCAAAACGTCGTCGTTTGGAGCATCAGTGGGGCTGGACCAATTTGGGAGTTGGATTGGGGTGGATGTGTTGTGAGATTTGGGCCATTTGAAATTGGCCCAATTCAGAATATAAAGAAAATAACCCTCTTACTCTTTATTTGATCTTCAAAATTAACCAAATTAACACTAAGTGAACCTATTTTGCAAAAATAACCTAATTAGCAATTAAACTAATTTAAATTAATAAAAATTGAACTATTTAATTACCAAAATGCAAAAGAAATAAACTAATGTAATAACTAATTTTTTAAAATTATTTTTCAATTAATATGTAATTAAATCCTATGATACAATCAAGATATAAAAATGCAGTACATGAAAGATAAAAATATTTTTAATGATTTTTCTTTTGATTTAAAATATTCCTAATGATGCAATGATGCAAATAATCTATTAATGCAACAAAATGTGAACTAATAAGCAAACGAAATTCCTAAAATTTGACGAAAAATAATTTAAAATATTTTGAATATTTTTTAGGAGTAATTTCCTATATGGGGCAAAAATTACGTGCTCACAGTTGTCCCTCTTTGCTCGAGAATATAAAGAGCTTTCGGGCAAAGATAAAGTGAGCAATTATGAATAATTTTTGCCCGTTTGATACTCGATGGGAAGCATGTTGGAAAAGTTTGACCGAACCTTGCTTCTGAGGTTGCCTACATATCCTTGGCTTTAAAGGAATCAGGTCATAATAGTTCTGGAATATTTGGTAGTTGGGACAACCGAAAAGCTATGATTTTACTACTGCTGCTGCTGCTGCTGTTACTGCTGTTACTGCTTGCTAATTCCTTATTATACCAAAATCAAAATCAAAAGAAACTAAATATGCCTATCAGCTATGAGTTACAAGATTTCTATTTATAAGTCTTCCGAAACTAGATCTTGAGTCTTGACGGGTTCTTCCTGCAGACTCTAATATGAACCTTGATGCTTGCTAGCTGCAGGTGCTATTTCATTCTTCTACGGCTGATTCTTAAGAAAAATGGGAAATGCAACGCATGTGACTTCAGTCACGTCTTGATCAGTTGACATCTTTTCATCTACTTCTGCATTTGGATTCACTTCTTTTCTTTTCTTTTTTTATTTTTTATTCTAGATTGAGACTTCTTCTTTTAGTCATCTCGAACCCTGTGCCTTGAGGTAAAATTTGCTTAGACACCAAAATAAACAAACGAACAATTCTGCCCTAGTTTTCACTAGGAAAATTTCGTGAGTTATTGTAACAAAAATTCTAAACTACTTCATTATTAAAATAAATAAAAGATCGAGACTGGTGTAACCTGGGAAAATATGATTCCTTGGGAATGGTGTACCCTGATTGTCTAATGAGTGCCTCAACTAAGTATTGGTGTACCTTGTGTTGGAAAAATGCGACTAGAGAATGGTGTATCCTATATTAACAATGATACCAGGGAGTAGTGTACCCTGCATTTAAGATCAAATCGATTAGGGAGTGGTGTACCCTATGTTTGTAAACATGGCTAGGGATTGGTGTACTATATACTGGAAAGGATATCAGGGAGTGTCGTGCCTTGCATTTAAGATCACTTGGTAATGATATCATGGAGTGGTGTACCCTGCATTTAAGCTCAATCAACTAGGGAGTGGTGTGACCTATATTGGAAAACATAGCTAGGGATTGGTGTACCCTATATTGGTAAGGAGATTAGAGGAAGGTGTACCCTATGTCTAAAATATCATCAACTAGGGAGTGTTCTACCCTATGTTGGAAAACACAACTAGGGATTGGTGTACCCTATACTGGTAAGGAGATTAGGGAGTAGTGTACCCTATGTCTAAAACATCATCAACTAGGGAGTGGAGTACCATACGTTAGAAAATGCAGCTAGGGATTGGTGTACCCTATACTATCATGATTTTGAATTTTCTTTTTCTTTCTTTTTGCTTTTTATTTTATTTTATTTTAGTTAGAGAATGAGTTAAATGCGGGAAAGATTTTTTGAGAAGGCTTCCCTTTTTGAGAGTTTTTGTTATTGGAAAGCTGTTTTTAGTTTTTTTGTGATTTTCTTTTTGGTTGCACCTGCTTCTTGCAAGGTTATTTTTAGATTGCACCTGTTTCCAGTTTTTCAACAAAGAACAATTGTTAGTTTAGAACTGTGGTTGGTTTTGTGGCCTTGAGTGTTTCAATCACTTGATCTCGGTCCATCATTTTTTGATGATTATTTCAACTGCAACTAGTTGTTTCCTTAATACCAACCGATTTTTGACTCTGGAGAACCTTTGGCTTTTTCAAACTTTACCATGATGGTTGGTCGCGTGGGGCTTAAGCTTTTCAACTTTATTTTATCTTTGTGGGCATTTAATTTTTGACTTCTTTCTTCAAAGTTCCAATTTTAGAGCATTGAGGAACCTTTAAGTTTTTAAACTTTGCATAATAGTTAGTCACGTGGGACTTAACCTTTCAACTTTATTTTGCCCTTATAGGCACTTTAATTTGATTTCCTCCTTCCAAAAGTTTTTGATTTTGAAGCATTGGCCACCATAGCTAGTCGGGGTCGACTTGATGCCCCTGTCGAGGCCGGGGTGCCTTTTGAATATATCAACTTATGTTAAATGAGAGCCCTGTAAATTAGTATTTCCATCTCTTCTTGTGGAACAAAGTTAGGCCAAAGTAGATTCAAATAAAAACAAGCAATGGAATAGAGAATGAGTTTAAATGAGAGATGTCCCTTTCGGGGAACAGAAAGACAGACTTACCTGGGAGTACATGAAGACTTTAGTGAATATGACAAGCCTTTTGACGGGATGCCTGATCTGTGTAAAACCATCCGACTCTTAGAAATTCATCATAAATTTTGCCTTGAAATCGAGAAACCTTTCCCAGGAATTTGTTGATGCCATGGCTGTGTGCCCTTTACGGATTTTCACCAACTAACCTCTCTTATTTCTCTTCTCACCATCGTTTTATAGCGCCCTTTTTGGATTTTCACTAACAAGACTCTCATTTTTTAATTTCTATACTCACCATCGCCTTACGGTGCCCGTGAGGATTTTTACCAACAAGACTTTCTCATTTTATTTCTCTCATTGTGGTTGCATCAATGTCACGACCTGGCCAATCGTCTTGAGAATTAATGCCCCGATCCCCTATTAACTGCCTTCCCCGAGTTTATTTCTGCTATTTTGATTTGTTGGGATGTTCGGTTTTGAGTTTCGGAGAGTTTTGGGACACTTAGTCCCTAAATGAGAGCTTAAGTGTTGGAAAATTGACCGTAGTCAGAACAACGTGAAGATGGCCTCAGAATTGAAATTCGATGGTTCCGTCAGCTCTGTTGGGGTGATTTAGGGCTTAGGGGCATGATCAGATTGTGTTTTGGAGGTCCGTAGCTAATTTAGGTTTGAAATGTCGAAAGTCAAATTTTTGAAGTTTCCGGTCCGATAGTGAGATTTTGATCTAAGGGTTGGAATGGAATTCCAAAAGTTGGAGTAGCTCCGTAGTGCTGAATGTGACGTGCTTGCAAAATCTCAAGTCATTCGGACGAGATTTGATAGACTTTTTGATCGAAAGCATAATTTAAGACTTCTTGGAGTTCTTAGGCTTGAATCCTATGTTAAATTGGTGATTTGATGTTGTTGTGAGCGTTCCGAAGTTTTGAACAAGTTTGAATGATGTCATGGGATGTATTGGTACATTTGGTTTGAAGTCCCGGGGGCTCGGGTGAGTTCCGGAATGTTTTAGGTCTAAAATCATAGTTGTTGCAGGTCCAGAGGAGTTGCAGACCTCTGAACCCACCAGTGCGGTCCGCACAGGATTTTGTGCTGCTGCGGTGGAGGCTTTGCGGCCGCACAAAATCCAGTGCGGTCCGCGGTGAGGAAAGTTTCACTAGTTTGATTTCAGAAGCTTATATCTTTTGATCTACAAGGAATTTTGTGATGATTCAAAAACGAAAGTTGTAGCCCTTCGTGTCTAATTTTCAGAAAAGTAAAGAAATTACAATTTGGATATCTGTAGAGAAAGTTATGGCCAACATGCTAAAACCTATCACTGCAGTCAAATCCACCGCGGACAAGACCGGTTTTTGTGCAGTCAGCGGTGTGAACAACTAATTTTTGACCAAACCCAAATTCTATACTATTTTAGTGTAAATATTTCTTTTATATCTAGTCTTAATATTTTAAACTTTTATCATACTCTTAATAGGTTTATTAAAAAAAGTTACACAAATATTCACATACTTATTGTACAAATTTCATTTCTATTTGTAAAGAGAAGAAGAAAATTAACAAAAAAAATATTTGGTTTCATTTAATTAGAATTTTAATAAGTAATTATGGTATCTTTTCTTAGTATTATTTAAAGTACATGTAAATATTTAATTTTCCTATATTATAAGAAATATTGATTAATCTTCTTATATTTATAATTTAATTATCTTTTAAAATAAAAGACAAAAAAAATTAATAATAAAAAAAGAAGTTATGTTAAAAGAGATAAAGTTTGTTATCTCAAACTTTATCTCAAAAATCTCATTTAACTAAGCTAACAAATCTCAATTTCCCCCCACCCCTCACGTCACTCTACACCAACCCACACACTCACGCCCCAACCTCCATATCCCCTCAATCCCATGATCATACACACGATCTTCCCCACTTCATTAGGTACTAGCTTTTGATCACTACTTAATTGAGAACTTGACAGACGAAAGGGGGAGGGAATTGAAGGATATTTAAGAGACAAGCTTAAGAGATAACATGGGATTTTTTTTAGATATAAAGAAAGAATTGCGCCCTTTAATTTGAAAAATATTTGGAAGGAGAAAGCATGGAGTTTAAATTTCAGTCGACGTTCGGTTTATCGTTCGGGTTTTTATCTCCTCTCGCTATTGTTTGTCGCTGGGATTT